GAGGTTGCAGGGGGGGGCGGGGTGTACAAACCCATTAGCTGCAGCAGTGACTGTCACTGGTGCACCCTGGGTCTGAGCTGGCCACCAGCCCAGTTAGGGGAGGGTGCCAAGACGGGGCACCGTGGTACAGGAAGCCAAGGAAGATAAGGGGAGCAAAGACAGGCAAATTCACCTCCATCGTGTAGGTTTTTCCTGCCCCTGTTTGCCCATAGGCGAAGATGCAGACGTTGTAGCCATCGATGCAGGAGGTGACCAGGGCTTGAACCTCCTGAAACACCTTGGGGGGGGGATTGGGGAGTGTCAGGAGAAGGTGGCAGTGTCCCCATCTTACACTAGCACAGCAGGCAGAAGCACCCACCTCCTCCTGGGACGCTTGTGGGGGGAAGACCTTATCCAGTTCGAAGGACACCTGCTTCCCCTTGTGGAGGAGATGCAGGACAGCGTCATCATCGGCATCGAAGGTCACCACGTTGGCTGCCTCCGGGCCCTCGCCATCCTCCTTTGTGATGGGGCGGACTCGCCCAAAAACACGGATGTTTCCTTGGGTGGGGGGATGCAGAGGTGGTGTCAGCCTCGGCACATCCTGCTGCCAGCCCTCCAGTCACCATCAAACCCCGGGCGGGCTGACCGCCTCACCCCGTTGCCAACTGAAACATCCCATCACTGACCAGAGCATCTTATGGGGACGTGGAGCACCCAAGCCATGGCGCTGGGATGCAGTGGGGTGATGCTCCCCCATTCCTCCTGCCTCCTCCCAGGGACATACTCTCCCACAATGGGACCCGCCACCCCCCTCATGCACCTTTCAACCGCACCAGCTCGTTGTGGCACTTCTTGCGGAGCTGCAGCTCCCGCCGGTACTTGCGCAGCAGCTCCCGGTTGGTGCTGTGCACCTCCTCGATTGCCTGGCCGATCTGGGGAGGGATGGAGACCAGCGGCTCTGTGACCCCCTCAGCATCCTCACCCTGCATGGGGGGGGAGCCGGGCTCCTGTGGGGCTCACCTCGGCCCTGGCACTCCGCAGGGTCTCCTGAAGGAGCAGGGGGAAGTCACGGACCTGACGCTTCAGGTTGTTGTAGTCATGGGTGAGGGTGCGCAGTGCTGGCTGCAGCGTCAGCAGGTTGGTCCGGACACCTGCAGGCATGAGGCAGGGTGAGGGGCAGGTGGTGGAACCCCCCCTAGCACCGGCCACGTGACCCTGCGAGCCCCCCATGCTCTCCTCACCCGCCAGGTTTTCATGCACTGCCTTCATCTCTACTTGGGCACGAGAAAATGCCTCTTCAATGGCGCGGTTCTTCTCCTCCTCCATGGCCTGCATCTCCTCCAGCATCTGCCCATGGGCTCGCTCCAGCTCGGCCTCATACATCATGATCTGGGAGAGAAGCAGGGGCAGTAATGCTGAGTCAGTGACTGCCTGCATCTCCCGGCAAGCACCACGCAGGCAGCTAGGCAGGGTGACTCTTCAATTACACCCAGTGGGCTCAGACCTGAGCTCGGAGCTGAGCCGCCGTCTTCTGGGAGCTCTGTAGCTGCTGCTCCATCTCCTTCAGCACCTGCCTTTGCATCCCCACCTGCTCCTGCAGATACTGGTTTCGGGACTGGCTCTCGCACAGGGCTTGCTTTGCCTTGGCTGACTCTACCTCCACCGTCTTGATGATGTACTGGCGGAAAAGCACCCAGAGAATGGGGTGTACTGGGGAAGCAGCACCTGAGGGGCCTGGGATGAAACTGGTGCTGGCCCAGGGGAGTTAATTTACAAAATCATGGTGTTGCACTGATGTGCTCAGCGCAAAGGGATTGGTGGCACTCACAGGGCACCCACTGGGCACCGCTAGGCACCCAGCCTAGCTCCCCTTGCCTAGCCAGAGGAAATGGAGAACCCACACACCTTTATCTGCTGGGGCTGGGATTTGAGGCTGGCAATGGTCTCCTGGCTGTCCCGCAGCCGCCGGCTGAGCCGCTCCTCCTCCTCGGCTCTCTCGGCCAGGGAATCCTTGAGCCGCAGCTCCACCTCAGCCAAGCGGTTTGTCTTCTGCTGCACCTCCAGGTCCAGCTCCGCCAGCTTGGCCCGTGCCTCCTCTGCCTCCTGCTGCAGCTGGGAGAGCCGCTCCTGCAGTCCGGCATTCTCCTGGCCCCAAAACAGCACAGCCAAGGCCACATCACCCATGGGTGCTGCTCACCCTGCCGCCACCAGCGCCACTGCCGGCGACTCACCTGGAGGTGGGCACAGTCCCGGCACGGTGCCTGCTGCTGCCGCCGCAGCTCCCGCAGCTCCCCCTCGCACGCCTTCATCTCCTGCCGCAAGCGCTCATTCTCCGCTGCCAGTAGGTCCCGGTGCTTCTCTGCATCCGTGCCCCCCTGCCAGTGGGGCAGGATGGAAGCCTGACGTACCCCGGGGAGCCCCCACCTCTGCCCCCAGGGGACCCCTGGCCCGCAGAGGGGCTTTTGCTTCCTCCCCAGGGCGATGGTGCCAGGGAGCCTTTGCCGGCTGTACCCCAGGGGCACTGCTCACAACATTGCATTGGACAGAAAATCCCACAAATTTCATCCCTCAACGTCTCTCTCTTCCGGCTCACGGGGTCAAAACTGTGATGCTGGGGAGGTTTTAATCTTTCTACTCCCTCCCCACGTGCCCCCTTCTACCTTGGGGACCCACAGCTCCAGCACCCCTCAGGGCAAGGCTGCCTCAGCCCAAGCCCGGTGGCAGCTCACCAGCTCTGAGCGCAGCCGGCCGATCTCCTGTGCCTGCTCCAGGAGCTTCGCCTTCAGACTTTCAACCTGTCAACACAGCCAAGGTTTAACCAGGAGGCATGTCAGCAGCTTTCAGAGGAGACCCCGTGGTGCTACCCCAGCCTCTGACATCCAGTCTGGCTTGCACCTTCGTTATGCCTTAATTTTCCACCTTGCTCTGAGCGCCTGATTCACATGAGCTGATTAAAAGAAGTGTTAATGAAAGCCTTGCTTTGACCTTGTTCAACCATAGGTATAATTTGTACATGTTGTGCTTTAGCAGAAACCATTATTAAAAAAAAAAATAAAAGCATCGTCTTTGGAGAAAGAAAAAAACAAACCTATCCATAATTGTGTTTAAAGAGCCAGAAGCGCCTCATCCTGCCCTTGCAACACAGCTTCTCTTTGCCTTCTTTATTTTTCTTTCTAGGAAAGGTATCTTGGGAGAACGGGGGAGCAGGAGCTCTTTAAGAAGTCTGTGTGTATGAGTCCAACGGGAGGATGGTCCCCAGCCACTCCATTGGGGCATCTGCCCATCCCATGGGGACCAGGCTGCCCTCTCTGCAAAACCAGGTGGACTTCATAAATCCTCCAACTTTTTGTGCAGGGACCAGTGAGGCTCCCCCAGAAATATGCAGTTATTCAAATTAATGGCCACAGCAAGTTCTTGGCAAAGCCAGCATCCTCATGGGCTGTGTTTGGCCAGGTTTGCCCCTCGGCCCTGTGTCCAAAACCTGATGTCCGCTGGGTAAGCATTGCTTCCTCCTCAAAACTTATCCTGGAGTGAGTCAGATCTGGCCGTGCACTTCACCGCTGTGCCCAAATCCCAGCCCAGCTCCTGGCATCCCCGTGCCACCAAACCCCTCACCCAGACACGGCGGGCTATTGCCCCATCCCAATAACCAGCTTTTTCTAAGCAGCCAGGCCTCTGTGGACCATAATTTAGGAACTGCTGATTAATAACAAATGCAGATGTGCTGACATGGTGCTGTAATTAATGTGGGTAAATTATTAAGCTACGCCCTTGCGGAGCCGGTGGCAGGCAGCACCTCCTGCAGAGCCCTTTGCGCTCAGCCGGGGGTGCTGGAGGTGAGCTCCCCACGCGGTGGGTGCTGCCTGCAGGGGTCAGCACCCCACACACACTGCAGCGGGGGCCCTGTGCTCCAGCAGTGGAGCTGAGCCCATGCCAAGCGCACTAGCCTCATGTTTGAGTGGGAAGATCCTACTTCCATATTCAGTAAGGTAGATTATTATGGTATTTTTAAAAATATTTTTAAAAAGAGCGCCAGGATGGAGAAGACAGAGTCACAGCTTGTTACAGGGCAGCTGCCACCCTTGCCAGCCAATGTGCATGCCAAAGCCTGCCCACCACTTCCCATGCCAGCAGCGCCTGAAAATGCTGATGCACCTCCATCCCCTACCTGCTGGGGCATCTCCAGCTGAATCCTGCTCTCTGGAGGCAACAGACACTCCTTCGCAGCCGGATCTGGCTCGAGCCGTGGCCCAGCCATCCCTGAGCTTTGGAACTTGGGGTCAGTTCTTCACTCTGGCTGGCGTCAGCTGCGCTTGTTGCCAAACTGGCCAGCGCAGGGCTGGATCCTGCCGGCGCTCATGCTTGTGTCATGCCGAGTATGCCAACCAAATGCAGGACAATTACCTCCGCCTTTTTGACACCCGTGGAACAAGCAGAACCTGACTGTAACAGCTTCCACACAGCCACATGCAAATCCATTCATGAGCAGCCAGGATTTCAATCTCCCTGGGATGACCCAGGTCCTCACACCGAGGATGCGACCAGACCAGCACAGATGTCTTTTTTGAGGGGGGTTCTGGTTGCAGCGGCCAAAATGCTCTCCCCTTCGGCAGACAGCTCTGTGCCTTCACATTCACTTTCCACCTCCTGACTCTCAAAAGTCACTAAAATTAATCTGCTGGGTCAGTCTAACGAGCTTATCTTGCTGCAGCAGCCCTGCACCAGGAGGATGGATGACTGCTGCAGGGCTGCAACCCCGATGTCCAAAGCCCTCCTGGCCACGTCATGTCCAAGAAGCCATGTGCCCTTGTTAGAAATATCACCATGTCACCATAACGTCAGTCAGAGGGCTGGGAACATCCCGAGGGAGGCACAGCTGAAGCCAGTGGGATGACCATGACGCTCAGGAGCCCCCAGCTCCCAAATCATCCCTACGCAACTGAGCGGAGAAGACGCTCCATGACTGAGGTCCTACACTGCTTCCAAGCAGGCCCCTCACTAAGTGCAAGCCAAAGCACTCTGGACAAGTCACAACCTGAAGCTGGAGACCCCGATGGACCCCCTTGTGTCCCCCTGTCCCCACTGTACCTGGCTTTGCAGCTGGAGAGAGCGGGAGAGCTCGTCGTTCTCCTGGGCAGCCAGTTTCTCCTGCAGCCCCAGCAGCTCCTCCTGCAGTCGCAGCTTCTCCTCCTGCAGATGTGCCATGGAGGCCATCACCTTCTGGATCACCGGGAAGGGACGGGACACTGGCAGGCTGGCACGTTTCCCACTGCACAGCCTCCCTCCTGCATGGGAGCAAAGGTGGAGGTGGTCAGGATTCAGCCGCCTTGCTAGGGAGCAGGACGCCAGCTATGAGAAGAGTCCCCGAGGGCTGCAGTGGAAATGGGGCCGTGGGAAGTGGGACTGGCAGAAGTTCCATGGAGAGCACTGACGTTCTGGGAGGTGCATCCTGAGCGTCACAATGCTGACCATGGCCAGCCGTGCTAATGGTGGGGGTCCGGCCGGGTAAGCCCCCCTGGGGGTCTGAGAGTCAAAGGGATCTGCTGGAGCCAGCAGAGCATCCCAGGCTGTAACAGAGTGCCGGCCCACACCACCGTGCCGTGACCCAGCCCCATCACACGCCAAGACGCTGTCACCTCACTCAGATAACAACCGCCTTCACCACGGGGCTCTGATTCATCCCAGCATCCTTTTTTCTGAATGAGCAGGTGCTGGTGGAAAACTACTATGTGATCACGTTATTAAAGACTGCATCGTTACACACAAATATAATAGAAGCCAAATTAAAATTATATGGGTACCCTGAATGGCCACATTGCCTAATCCTTGCGTGTTCAGCTTTCTAACCGTCCTAGTATTATTTTAAACATCATTTTCTGCATGTTAATAGAGCCACTAGTGCTGACAGAGCCAGCTTGGCCATACATCAGAGCCTACCAAATGAATCTCTAAAATGACTTGGTAGTTCCCAAGAAGAAATGAGCTGGCCTGACTCATTCCCAATGTGGGGATCAGGCACCACAGCGGGTGAACTGGTGGCCAGTATCCCAGCTGCCCAGTGCCCTTCCCTGCCTGCCATGGATTTCATCTGCTGCCACCAGAAACCTGAGGTTTTAAAGGCAGGAGGTGATGCTGGGAATTGCTTCACTGCCTGTGGGCAGGTGCTGCCTGCTTTATGGGAAACATTCTGAATACAAGAAACAAGACTTCTTTTGTCTGTGAATCAGACTTTCTACCTTTAAAACATCCAGCACAGCAGGCAAAAAGGGAAATGCCGGGACCAAACCACAGCTCTGCTGTCGACTGCATGCCATGGGACTTATCTGGCAATGTCTGCAGAAGGAATTGCCAGATTCTGTGTTCCTGCCTTGGGCTGGATACCCTGAAAGAGTGACAACAGGCACCAGCGTTTCTTTCTTTCTTTCTGTGCCGAAAGCTCAGCCTGGCTCAGGTAGGGAACTGTGATGTTCTCTTTAAACTCACCACACACAAAACCCACCCCAAAACTCCTCAAGTTAACAGGAACACCAGCTCTCACCCCTTGGGGAGCATGCAGGGATAAGATAAGATTACAGGAGGCACCAGGCCTCCTGCAGAAGCACCGCGTGTCTGCACACATCATCCATTACAATCCTGGGCTGGGACCGAGGGCAGAGCTGGGTTCAAAGCCATGACACCTGGCTGCAAGTCAAACTTCTGGGCAGGGGTGATCCCACACAGATAACGCACTCCTCCTTGCTCCAACACCTTCATCCTGCAAGAGCATCCCTGGGAGAGGAGGTGCCGGCCAGACCTGCACTACATCTACCACCGGGCAGACATGCTGGTGGCAATATGGGGTCTTAGCACAGCAGGCACTATATGCTGACCCTCCTGATTTCCAAAATGCTTTGAAACCTGTGTGGAAAGGCATCTGTTTCCATGGCTCTGCCCCATTACCACTCCCTTCCTCCTGCACCCCTTCCCCTTCCCACTAGGTGCCCTGCCCTGGGAGCTGCTGGGGGATGCAGCCAGGGTCCACCCCAGAAGCAGCTCCTGGGATGTGTCCTGACAAGCCCAGACAATTCCATCCTGATGGTGAACAATGGGAATCATGGGGATTCACCTGCCCTGGCGCAGACACACACACTGCAAGTGTTTGCACAAACGTTATATTTTCCTTAAGAGGGAGGTAACAGTGGTGGGTTTGCTGGTGCTCACCTGCTCTGTTCACCCAGTTAAATAATTCATCAGTTGCCTGGTGTCACCAGACAGCTGCCTGGTGTTTGATTTCTACGGAGACCTGACCCGGCCCAGTGAGCACAGCCGTGTGTCTGTGCACCCCGAAAGAGGAGAGGTCCCCACGGTACCCACCGCCAGGCTGCCCATCCCATCACATCCCTCCTCCCGAGCACCTGCTGCCGCACCCTGACCTCCCCCTTACCTGTTTTCTCCAGGTTCATGGTGGGGGCTGTCTGCGCTGGTATGGCAGCTGCTGGCTCACGGGGGGATGCCAGTGGCTCCTCCGTGGCCGGTGGTGGGGCTTGGTGCTGGCTCTCCTCCCGCCACTCGCCTGCTCTCTCCTGCAGGGCCTGTGTCCATGAGAAGAAACAGGAAGGAGCGCAGAGATGCATCGAACATGCACATCGGGATGGATGTGGTGCCAGCAGATGGGATTTCACTGGGCTGGCCAGGAGGAGCAAGCAAGAAGGAGGTTGCAGGGCCAGGACAGCGGGACCTGGGAAACCCTCCCTCCAAGGGATTTCAGTGCTAGGAAGCTGCACTGATGAACTTCTCCTGTTGCTTTTAGTTCTCCCCATAAACAGCTCCTTCTCTCAGCTTGGTCATGCAGTTATACTGAATATTACCTATTTTTCTCTTTATGCCTTAAAAAAAAAGAAGACCCTGGCTTACAAGCAGGGTTGAATGTGAAGTTGCTTGCTGGTGAGCCATGGCTCAGGTAATGTCATGCCCTGTGGGATGGAGCACAGCTCCAAAAAAGCAGAGAAGAAATCTAGAAGGAGGGAAAGAAATATAGAGGTCCCAGATTTCTGTATCTATTGTATCTATCACTGGCTTACAGCAAAAAAAAATAAATCACTATTTTAAAAGGTGCTACAGCATGCACATTTGGGAAAGCTGAGCTGCTGATCAGCTGAGCTCACAGAACGGCTCCCTGCCCGCTCAAAACAGCCTTTTCTTACTTATATCTTAGAGCCCATGGCATTGCCCCACGGGCCAGTGATGCTGGGGAAACCCGTTTCACCCCAGCAGAGGGGTGAATACTCGGTACATGCCAAATATTTGTGAGAGTAATTTGGAGGGAGGTGGTGGCAGCATCCTCCCGGAGAAGCCGCGTGTCTGCGGTGCCTCTACATTTAAGACTCCGGGAGGGTTTTGCCAGAGGGAATTCATCAAGGCTGGTGTGAGATAAGAAGGTGTTTTTCTTCTTTTCAAAGAAGGGGAATTTAAATTATTTGCCTGAAGCCCAGAATGAACTGGTGGCAGCAACACCAGTATACAGTGTCCTGACACTGTCCCCTGCCGAGGTGGCCTCCCTCCTGCCCCTCCTCCTCCTCCTCCATCCCCCTGGCAAACACCATCTCATGGCAACGCATTTTCTTATCACCCTTCTGCCTTGAGCTCTCTTGCCTACATGACCCAGAAGTGACCCCAAAAATGTTATTCTGGGCTGTTCCCTGGCATTTTTTGATGCCTTCCAACCTTCCCAGAGATACTTGTCCCTCCCTACCGAGGCAGCTCCCACCAAGAGATGGCCCAGCAGGGTGCTGGGCACCCTTCCCAGCATCCCAAAAACGCCCTCCCCACCCGAACCATGGCCGGCTCAGCAGTCCTTACCTGGAGAGCCAGGCAAAACCTGCGGGGGTTTGCAGCGTCTGGGCAGCTCACGCTGAGGATTTTACGGTGAACCAGTGCAGGCAGCAGAGGAACCCGGGGAGAGGTGTCCGACCTGCTCCCAGGGACAAGTGTGTCCTGCCCGTGGCCTGAGATGGAGTAAAGAGCATCAATGGATCAACCTGAGACCCCAGGAGGGACAGAGTCTTCAGCCTCACTCCACAAACCCACCTCCTCCTCCCCGCTGCTGCCACCACACTGGTGTGATGAAGACTGTGCATGAGTTTTATTTAAAATGTTGATTATGTTAATTAGAAAAATTAACCCTTCGAGGTGGAGACTGGTTGCCAACAACTAGTAATGGGAATTCAGGGTGTAGCATCCATCTGTCCCCTGCAGGACCAGATTTGTCCTCTCACTGGGGACACCCCACCCCTGCCCCTTGTCAAGCCACCCCACTTCCTGTGACCCTATCTTGGAAAAGCTGCCAAAACCAGCTTGCATCACCAAAACCAGACAGACGGACTCTGACAGAGTCACCTCCCTCCACTGCCCCCAAATATTTCCTTTATTTGTCATGCAGGCAAACCCGAAAGCAGACAGGGCAGCAGTTCCCAGCCCTTCTGAGCCACACAGAAGGAAAAGAGCATCTCAAGGAGCTTTTTCCCATGGCTGGGTCCTCCTCTGCTACAGAAAAGCGGCTGGGGAGGGCTACATCCCAATGGGAACTGCCTGGGGACCCTGTTCTCCCTTTCCATCCGTCTGCTACAAGCTCTGCCAAATGGCAGCCAAATGGCTTCTCTGGCAGGCAGGTGAAAAAAATCAATGACCCATAAATAAAACCCCACTAATGCATTTTTTTTCCCCTAAAATCATCCGGAAGCACTTGGGCCCGATGTGGAAACAGCATCTGGAGGGAGATGTGCCCTGATGAAGTCAGTCCATTGCTCTGGACTCCTTCCCAGCCTGTAATTAGCCATAACATTTCGCGCCCACACTGTGAAAATCGAGTGTTTCCAAAGAGCTGGTGGGTGACCGGATAAAAGGGTATGAGTTCCCCATCCCAGCATGGGCAGCGGCAGCACTGAAAAACCCCGTTTTCAGAGGTTTCAAAACATTCGGCTGAGCTGGCCTGAACGCCAGGGAAGGAGCAGTGCTGTTAGCAGCTGCCAGCACACAGGGATGGCGAACACTGGAAGCCAACAGCAAAACAAACCCAAATGGGGGGGGGGGG